GTAAAAATGTTTATTTGATGGTGGTAATCCATGACCCAAACATTAGAACTCAAAAAGGTAGGAAGAAATCATGATTTTATGTGTTTATTTCTTAAAAACTTCATATTCTGTTGCTGACAGATTCTGTGCTTGTGAAAAAATCGTTCATATCTTGTAAATGGCTTGCTCAAATGTCATGAGGTTTCTTATAAAAGTTTATTTACTGAGTTGGGGTTGCAATGCATTTGGTTTCACTCAAAAACATTGAGTTTTGACCCCCCAAATACTCAAAACATTGTATATATGTATATGAGAGTTCTTCAGTAGGTAAACCCTACTTTGAATAGCCATAACTCTCTAGATAATCGTCCAAAATTGTTGATTTTTCTTCTTGATGTTAGTTTAATGAGTTACCTTTCAAATGCCACCAATTTCACTCAATATTGTGGTGATTTGAGGTTTTAAATACTCAAAATAAKATGAACATGCAATCWGTCCGATTCTGACAGATTTGTATATGTGTGTTCCATCGACCATATCTCTCTCTAAACTCAATGAAAAAGGATGATTATTCTTTTGAGAGTTATGTTTATGGGTTATATCCTACATGAAAGTGAAATAACATAAAATTATGGAGTTTTGATCTCCAAGAACCTAAAACTCTATAGGTGTGCAAACTATGAAACCACCAGTAGGTAACTCTTACTTTGAATGTTAATATCTTTCTATTTACTTGTTCTCAATGTATTATTCTTCTTCTAAAAAATTCTTTTATGAGTTATAATTCATTTGATCCAGTTTCACTCAAAAATATGATGTTTTGAGGCATGAACCTATATATTTAAGTCAAGTGTGCAATCTGTCAACTAATGACAGATGTGTGCATGTGACTTAAAGGTATCATATCTTCCTCTCAACTCATCCAAAATCAGTGATTTTTAGTTTAAAAGTTTTGTATAAGTGTTAGGTTTTCATTCCAACTTAAATTTCTGCAGAACACCTAGTAGAACTCTTTTAATGAGTGTTTTACTAACATGGTGCAATCTGTCATTTCAATTGTGATATGTTGCATTGCATAAATTATTTGAATAATCATTTCCTGCCCAAAATACATGACATTTGGTCATGATGACTACAACTCAGTGCTATAAATCATATAAAAAGATGGGAATTTATCTCATTTTTAAAGTCACTTTATTTGATCATTTTATGTAACTTAAGTTTCTGTCCAGAATCAAGAATTCTGGATTTGGTTAAAATTGTA